AGCCAATTTAATTCTGACAAATTCGACTAAAGCTAAGTGGGAGTCGGAGAGCAAGCAAAAAAGAAAAACTGGCAGCTTTTATGTCATACTTGAATTGCTATATGCAAGGCATGAAAACGTATAAAAGCATAAATTTACCGTTGCACTTAAAACGTGCGTGATTATAATGCACTTAGCGCACATACATATGTGTTTGTGTTTGTGTGTGTGCGAGTGTGTGTCAAAGGTCAAATCCTCTCTGCTCGGCTCCTTTTTTGTGTGTGAGGTATTCTGGGTATTCCAATCGCTGAGCTCTGTGGTTTAAACCATTTTTAATGTATCTTGAAAGCCCTCGCAATGCTGCGAACGCAGAATGTAAGGTTTCCAATGCCATCCTGTTGTTGTCTTTTAATTTATGGCATTTTAAATACAATTTACGTTGCTGTCCTATTTGTGCAGTATTCAAAAAATAAATACAAAATGCAATTAATGGCAAACATACGTTCGCTCTTGCAGTGGCTTACATACATATAAATATAGATATATATATGTATACATATGCTTATATATATTTGCAAAAATGAGAATTACATTACTGAGTTTTAGGCTTTTATTAAAATGTTTCTTGTTAATGTTGTTATTGTTCGATGTCCCGATTATCAGGGCTTAAAAATTGCGTTGTAATGTGTGAATAACTCAAAATATAACATTACATGTTTTCCAATTGGGGAGATCGATGGAATATGCCAAAATCATAATATTCTGGGGCATTCTTGGGCATACATCGATATTAATCGATTTTTTAAACAAGACGAGTTATTGAAGAACTAAAATCATAATGCATAATATTATCGAGCAACTAAGATCAAAGTTTGCTGGTCTGTATATATATATATTGTTTCCGACCGACTCAGCTCGTCATCCTCTAAGCATATATTCGTGTATTTTGCTCAAAAACTTCAGCAATCAAAAGCCAAGTTGAAATAGTTGTGGCAAGAAGTTGCAACCAAATGATTTGGCCTCAAGTGTTTGTTGGCTGTACTCTGCAGCTGCCTCATTGTTTTGGTCATGTTCATCCGACAGTTTGACCCGCTTCCTATATTGGCTATTTGGGTTTGTTTGGTATTCTTGTTCCTGTTGTTTTTATTATTATTGTTCTGGATGTTGTTGTTGTGTCGGTCAACCATACCCAGAGACTGAATTTGTTTGCTTATTTGACTTTGAGTTCTCTAGGGATTTAGTCTGGTAGGCTGCTCTCTGCCTCTGCCCGTGCCTGGCTTACTCGATTTGTTAATTTAGCTTATGGATTTTTCATTGTCGCCTTGATGATGCTGCTGCTGCCTGCCTGTACCACAAATCGTGTTTGCTATTCCAACACAGAAGCCAACATTCCCATATAATAGTATGCTGAAGTTCTTTTGTGGCTGCTAGCAAATGTAATGATACCAAATTGTTCACATTATTATTCACTTATTATTGGCACAATTAGTTCAGACACAAATCATCTCCAGCCAAAGACAGCCTTTGAGATCATTCGGTATTGCAAATTATCTCTATTGGATACAGTTGATTGTTGCTAAGTAGTTGAAATCTGAAGCTGAACAGAGGAGGAAGCGTGTCTCATTTTTCAATCACCATTATATATATATATACATATTCGACACCACACCAAAGTTGTAGCTCATTAAATATATTTTATCCCTGTCCTTTATCGGTCATATCCTGGCCCACTGGACATTTAGTTTGTGCAGACTTGGTGCGTGATCCGATTGTAGAAGACTGCCAATCGGGTCAACTTGAGCGCATGTGGGTCGACACTTACGGGTGGACATATATCCATACCATATTGGTGCCCGTGTCCAATTTACGGAATGATTATTCAAATCTCGTTGATTTAACAAAGGCAAAGAGTTTAGTCGGACGACTCTAACCTCGAATCAACATAAATGGATACGAAAGAATGTTTTGTATGTATACCAAATGTAGTTAACCGATGGAAGGGCAAATGCAAATGCACTTGGCTACAGCGACTGAGTTACATCTAATTCTAATTATTCATCGCTCAGCCTGTTGCATACATTTACATAACTTCGCGATCCAAATCAAGTTAAGCGATGTGATTTCTCGATAAGTACTAACCAACTCGGTAGTAACTCAATGGCCAAATCAATGGATGCTATGCAACATACCTGCCCGTATATTCCGTGGGTTCTCTGTTCATGTCAAGGTTTGAGAATGGGGAGTACAGCTTGCAGCGTTTGACACTTTGGTGCTTCCTCATTTGCATTGCCAGTCGACATCCAAAATAAACAGTGAAAATTAATTATTTTTACAATATAGCAGCATCAACGTCAAACTTGGCACCGACAGCAGCAGCAACAAGAGCAACAGCAGCCCATTGTTGACGTCCTTATACTTGAAGTGTTTTCCAAACAGCAGCTGCAACAACACCTGCACTCTTACTCCGCACCTACCCCTATCCCTACCTGAACCACCGACGATTGCTACTCCTCTGGGCAGTCAATCGAGTGAAAAGCTATTGAAGCACAAGAAGCGAGCATGAAAAGAGCGCAGTTGCAAAACGTTGCGAATAACAACCAGTTGGACTGAATGCCCAACGCCAATGTACCCTCCAAACCCTATCATGAACTTGGGCCAAAATATGTAAAAGCATCTCCGACCCCATAAAATATATATATATTCTTACTCACTTTTGTTACTTGCTTTTTTTGATTCTATACTATGTGTAACTACGAATGCATATTAATGTTGGCCTGTCTTCATAATCATATTCAGAAGCTCAAAATTGGATTTACGTCGACATTTTTTCTTTTCTTGAATAATTTAAAATGCAATACGAGGTATTCCTGTACCTGGGCAGGGCATTCACTCGTTGAATGGAAAAGTCTGTCAGTGGACAGTCTTCCGCTTGAAATGGAAGTTCCTGCCGCAGTGCTCAGGACACAGCCGTGTGCCAGCTGTCCACTTCAAGGTAAACGTTATCAGCAGAAACTACCTTAGTTTTGACCGCTTTTAGCTTAGTTTTAATCGCCGTCGCATTTACGCGGACAAAATATTAAGTTGCATAAGTTGTGGCGCAGAGCAAGCTCAACTCCTCTTCTACCTATATCTTCTTCAATGCATCTGTGTGTGTGTGTGTGTGTGTGTGTTTTTTCAGGCTTTTGTCACCGACGAAACAATGGAACATAATTCATGCAAAGGGTCTGCTCAGCTCAACTCAACTCAACGAGCGGACGTTGTCAGTTGGCCTGATGCAGACAACTTGTTGGCGTTGCTTCCTCTCTAACAATCAGCTAACTACCAACTACCAACTGCCAACAACCAAACCCCCTTCCAAACGGAAGTCGACTTGTATTGTCTTTGTGTGTGGCATAATAATAAGCATAATCTGAATTTCTGTAATTGTCATAGAAGCTTTGGTCAAAGGGCTTTCAACAAATGAGCTCCTGATTGAATGCAAACTTTGTGGACACTGGAAGCGGACATTTAGCTTAGAACGTAAACAATAAAGTGGTCAACTGCTTTGTTTGAAAGCAATTATTTCCATACAAAAACAAAAGTACACTAAACTATTTGTATTATTAGTTTTTGTGAATTGACTGCCTGGCGTATATCAATTTTATATTCTTATCTTTCCAGTTATGATCTTCTTCAAATCACAGAATTCATTTGAAGGTATTTTGTAGCTGTTGAATTGTAAATTGAGTCTTTTTTGTGGTCCTAGAATAATAATCTATGAAGGACCCTCCGTTGTAATATATTTAGTGTGTACTGAAAGTGCTGAAGTTTTTGGGGATTACTCCCTAATTTATATTCTGGCGGAATTTGCTGTGGTGGATAGTGAAAGAATTTGGATTCTGGCAAATCTTGCCAGCTTAAAATGTTTGCATTCTTTCATCATCACATAATTATATAGATGGGCAAAAGAAATATTAAGAAAAAGTTTTCGCTTTGAATTTCCAAAACAAACTAATCTATTCTTCAACGATATTTTTATTGTACGATTAAGCTTTGGATAAGGACAATTTATGCAACAGCCTTATGCAATTGCATAGTAGTACAAGAAAAGAAAATCGAACAAGTTGAGATAGTTAACCGAGAGACTTAAAGTTTTGGGGAATCCATTTGGAATGGAGTTGGCGTTGCAATCTAATCTAAACTCTTCTGGAATTTGTTGCAACATTATTTCACATAAAAGACTTCTGCATACAAAACGAGCCAATTCGACGGCAGAGCTTATAAATTGGGTCAGTACATGGGCGGAGTGTTAACTGGGTCAACTGTAGCGCAACAGACTCCAAATAAATAATATATTTTGTTGCCAGCAACTACAACTAAACTCAACTCAACTTGAGGCAAGTGCAACACGCGCCAAACGACTGTTGGAAAAAGGGCACTCAACAACGGGATGTTGATGAAGGTGCCAGGCTGTTGTTTTGGGACGTGCGAAACGGTTGGCAAGGTGGCAGTTGCCAGGCCAACAACCAATGCTGCCACATGCCACTAAAATAAGAGGCAAAATACAACGGTTTTGTGGGAGCACACACACACAATCTCACACACACACACAAATCGAAATGCATAAAGTTTGACGTTCAAACATGGTGGAAGGTGGGCGGCGGTCAAGGGCCAGGGGTGTAGACTTGGTTTCAGTTGCAACAACTGCTGAAATGCTTAAAAGCAGGAAAGCACAACAGAAAGGAAATAGCTCCCCAAATGCTGTTCCAACGTCAGGCTGGGGGGAGAGGTGCCGGCGCATTCAAGTGTGCTTTTGATTACAGAAAAATGCACTCCAAAAAGTGGTAAGGTAAAAAATACAAAACAAGAGAACAGCAAATCGTACAATCAACAACAAGGACCTTCACACATGTATTTACTGACTGCAACAAAAAGTTGCACAAATTATACTATATATGAAAGTGATGCCAGCTATGGATGGCTTGACAATTTCAATTCGTAATTTCCAGCCGTGGCCATACAAATAGAACAAAAGAAAAAAATATATTCAAATATTGTACATATATTTCGTAACATTCTTGATGAAGAATGAATTTCACTGATTTGTTTCCAAGGTTTTTAACTCTACAATATCTTAATAAACAAATACAAAGTAAATGGGAACCGGGCCTTTATCTGGGTCGTGTGGTCTGTTCAACTACTGGGTGCAGTTGTGTTGGTGCCGGAAACACTATGGCCTTGGGACGACCTTCCTGTATCAGTACCTCATAGTGATGATCGCCATGGAGCAGTGCACACGGCAGATGCCTCTGATGCTGTGTGACAATGGGGGCCAAGGAGACGCCCTCGCAGTTAATGTAGACGACGGGCACGTGGAGCAGCAAAGCCATCTCGTAGGCCGCCGCCATTTTGGGGGACCAGATGGCAGCGCTCACAAATGGCAGCTTCTCCTTGGCGGCCAGCTCAGCCAGCTCCTGAGTGTGGCGAAATGTGTGCAGGGTCACCACGGTGCTGGGGTGGTCGACACTGAAGTAGCTCTGATTGAAATCGCAAACAACGATAGGCGAACCCTCAACCATTGTGTACTTGAGGCCAATGTCGTCGGGTTGCATCATGGACACCAGTTCGGCGCCCAAACACTCAATGCGACGCAATGCCCTAGCGTAGAGGTCGTGACTTTTCACCTGGCGATGCATCACCGTCATGCCATTGCGCACCTTCTCAATTAGTTGTTCCCTCAACGTCTCGTGCACAAAAATGGCAGCAATCAGTCCCAAGCCGATGGGCTCGTACAGCGTACGCATGAGCGGTTCGATTGTGGCGTCCACGTTCCCATCCTGGCCCAAAATAATCATACTTGGCTCAATCCAGCGCTTGTCGCTATCATCGCTAGGATACGGCGGCTGACGCCAGGTATATCCTCCATGAGCCATAAGTGTGCTTGGTCGCAAATGGTGCAAATGTGGTCGAATTCAAGTTTCTTCGAATTTTAACTGAGATTTCGATGAATGATGTGTGTTTGTGTTTGTTGAGTGGTCTAATTTTGTGAGAGTAATCTATAGTTTGTGACAGGCATCGCAAACTAATATTGTTGACAACAACAACAAAACATTCAGCAGCATATATTGTAAATATTCATTTCAACTATTCAGCTGATTTTCCGTTTTCACAAATATTCGTACAAAAACAGAAACAAAAGTAGTTAAAATTAGTAAAAATCTTTGTACTCGGCTGCAACACCTGCATAAATGTTGACATCAACATCAACTTGGCAACTCTTTTCGATAAGCGAACTATGTTGGTAAGCTTCAGTTTCGCACTAGGATTCTATTTTGTAAAAACGCTATTAAACCTACTAGCTGATTTAAAAAAGCTTTAACTTTGCTATACTTGATTTTCAGTATTATATTATTATAATATTGTCAGAAAGACTTTATAATTTCTTTAGAATTCAAAATCAGTTACAGATCAATAGTTATTTCTGTACTGGAATTAAAGGCTGGCTGACTGACTGGTTGGTCCTATCCAACACTGTTACTACCCATTAGCGCAACACTTGTGCTTTTGCCTCTAGCTGTTAGTGGTCCTTGTGCTTGAGTACCTCATCCCGTTGATTGACTGGTTGGTTGTTGGGTTTAGCGAGAATCAGTGAGTACCATACCCATTTAGCAGTTTGGTCTCCCCTGTCAGATGGTTTCCTGGACTAATGATGCACTATCTACGACAACAATTGTCATGCTTGAGTTTGCGGCGGTTGCGAGTCTGCCAGTTGTTCATATGCCACATGAGCATTGTGGTATCTTCCAGACAACTGGGTTAAATGAAACAGCAATTTGCAACTGTCCCCTTCACTGTGTTGATCCATTTTTCTTCTTTTGTTTTTCACCTATCTGTTGATTAAATGAACATAAATTGCATTGCTGGGATTTTCTTGTGTTCACCTTATGTTCAAGCAATTTAAGCTTTCGCAAGTTTGACTTGAGTCGAAAAATATGCGGAATTGATATAAAATGGCTTTGTCCTTAATCATTGTTTGATTCAAAACAATACAACAATAAAAGATACCCTAGGCTAAGCTTATGTTCAATTTCTTTTTTCTCGGCGGTCCAGCATTACTAGTCTGGGATGATGCACATCGATAAACGAATCACTGCAAAAGTTTATTTATTTATTTATTTTGATTTTTCTATTCTTTTCTTTTCTCTTTGATACCCTTGCAGAGAGTACTATGACTGTATAACCCAATGGATAACTCACTGAAAAGACATATCTGACGACACCAAACCACCCAAACCTCGATTCATCCGCCAAGAAATGCATTTTCTAAGTTAACCCTGCCAATCCAACGACTTTCCAGTGTTATTATGCTGTCTAGTCGTATGAATGTGAACAGGTTGGTTTTGGCCAGCAAGTGTATTTTATATTCGACATAGACTTGCTTGCTGGTTTTTATTTGTGTATCCCTAAGCTGGTGCTGTGCAGCAAATTGGATGTGGCATGAACTTCATAAGCTTTACTTTATTTCTCTTCCGGTTTGTAGTTGAGGCCGCCCATTGCCTCGTTGCTTGTTAGCCGGAAGCGGATGTTTGATAAATTCGTTGTGTCATTTTTCATTTTCATATTGCGCCATTGCCATGATAACTGTTGATAACAGGCAACCAACCACAAAGAACAGTCTCTGAATTTGAATCCCCGTACCAAGATGGTAACATGCTTTTTGGGATTCGCTCGGTCCGCTGGCATTGTCCTTGTGCGCAATATTTTAATTTGGCCATGTCCTGGCAGAAGCAATTTGCCAGCCCAAAGCCAGCCCAATGCCGGGATGCATTCTAAACCGCACTGCTTGCCCGGCTATCATCATATTCAAGACTATCATTATGGTCAACTTCTGGTGCAGTTGCTACTTTTTGGTTCGACATAATATAGTTGTTAATTTATGGACCGGATAAGCTGGTGCAGTTGTAAGTCGTTGTCGGTTGCATGGCAACTGCTGGCTCAGCGCCTTGGCCAACAGCAGAAGTCAATTTGTGAAAATTTGCCAAGGCTCATGGCCTTCGGCTCGTAAATCTTGGCGAATCTTTGGCACTGCCAGCACTGAGTGTGCTGGCCAGCAACAAATCGCCATTGATTGCCAGCCAAGTGCAAGACTAAAGCTTAATGCCACAGGCCACCACCACCAGCGTCCACTGGTCAGCAGCATTAAATATTCATTTGTACAAATTTGTACAACTTTAAAAATTGACAGACTACGTTCGAAATCGCTCATCTGTGAACTGAGCACAGAGGATACAACAGCAACTGGCACTTGCTGACAGCTTGGAGTAATCGTTGCAAACGTTGGCCAGCCGCCCACCCGGCTCTCAAGCTACCTGGAGCACTGACGGTACACATGACTTTCGGTCGACTCGACTCCTTGGCCGTTGCTGGCGTGGCTATCGAAGTTTGTTCAGGCATCGAAGCCTATATTTATGCAGTCAAACGTGCTTATCTGTTTGGCAACAAAAACCAGAAGCTTCAGCACAGCACAACAACCCCAACACACCCATCCCCCACTCAACAGCCCACAACATTTAGCCTTGCACACCTTGTCAAAATAATAAACAAGAAGAAAAGGCAGCTATCGAAGGCACGGCCAAGATTGCATAACCATGCAGGCCATGCACATTGAAATTTAATTAAAAACCAAACCAAATGTTGAAATGGGAGCTTAATGAATAAATAGTCAAATGATGATAATTTCTTGCATACTTTAAATTTAAACAAGTGTTATTCTAAAATGTGTTGAAAAGTGTTTGAGTGATGTGATTGTTTGAATGCTTTACTTATAGATACAATAGAAATATTTGTATACCCTGAACCCATTTCAAAGTACTAAAAAGGGTTTATTGGAGCTATGCAAAAATATGTAACAGGCAGGAGGAAGCATCTCCGACCCCATCAAATATATATATGCTTGTTTGCCAGTCCGTCCGTCCGTTCGTCAATCAATTTAAGTGAGTAGGTAGATCTTAGAGATTAGGAGATCAAGCATATATTATTTGATGCTCCTATTTCACGACAGATTCCAATTAATCCTTAATAAACCTTGACATGTTAGTAACCAAACTGTAAGGATTTCATACTTATAAGGACGCAAAGCTGTGATTTCACTTCGAGCTTTTAAAAAGAAATAAATTTGACAACGTAATCAATTTAATATATTCACTTAATTGTTCATGTATGATTTTCTATACCATTTTAGATAACTTAACTGTAGTGGCAACTACTGCTATCTTCTCAGTCCAACACTAATTTTCACGAAGTCAAATGAAAGCGATTCATAAAACACTGCAATCGTTTTCCAAATGCTTTGCATATCTGCACAGCTTGAATTAAAAGCAACGCAACTGCTTGTTAAAAAAGTAAAGTAAAAAAGAGCCAGTAAACCTTCATTAAACAACGTGACGATAACAGTTATTTATCTACTCAACACACGCATACATCTAAGACAAAAGATTTATATAAATTGAACATTCACCTGGGCCGCAATGTTTCTCATTCGCTCATCAAAATTGCTGCGTTGGCAAATCTGCACCTGTCCCGGCGCCCTTTCCCTCAACCCTCCTCCACGAGTCGCAACCCTTTTGGGGGTGTGTAAGGCAACTGAAAAATTCATTAAACTCGAGCAATAAATTCTTTTAATTGTTTTCTTGCCTTCTCTTGCCCTAACCCGTCCTCTTTTAACTAAATCCGCACAACTGTTGCTTCGACCAGCTTTAATAGCACTGACTCAAAGAAATTATTCGAGTCAAAAAGGTTAAACAATGTTGGTTAATTGATTCTATTCAAAAGGAAGAAGGCAGCTTTAGTTGACCGTGAATTCCACTAAAATGATAGATTATGGGTTTTTTTTTTAAATATTGTAATAGCATTATAGCAGTGTGCATATCTTTTAATTCAGTTTATTGATTATAAGAAAGCTTTGAAAATATTATTTAGTTTGGCTTAAGCTATCCACATGTAAATCACTTTTCAACAGAATTATTCACTGAGGTGCAATAAGTATTTAAAGGTTGATTCTTGAATCTTTGGCGTAATACTGTTGAAAGTAGCTCCCATTAAAATTGTCGTTCCCCTTCTGCATTCGTCATACCTCGTCCAGCTGGGGCAAATTGATTCTCAGTTTCTCAATAGGGGAGCAGCAGCTGCCGGTTAAAATGTACTTAATTAGTGAAGTGAACAAGGTAGAGCAGCTGGAGTTGCCAATTGCGTCATTAATAATCAAGAGAGAATGTTGCAGTCGGCCGTTACCGACCGCCAAATACTTTGATACCTAAGTAATACCACCTGATAACAAGTAGCAAAGAACAGGGTGGGTGTCGCCAAGAAATACCTTATTTTTCTTGCTGCTTTCTGAATTTTTGGGACGGGAGTGGGCGTTGCTGAAAAAAATTGTTGGTCGAGTTTCCTAGCAACCTTCCTTCCAAATTTGGTAGCTGTAGCTCCTATATTGCGGGAGATATGGACTTTTGGACATTTTTGGGGCGATAGTTTGCGTGGCTGAAAAAAGTATAATAGAAGGTGCCTAATAATCTTCCTTCCAAGTTTGGTAACTGTAGCTCTTAGATTACGGTAAATGTAGGCTTTTAGAAGATTTGGGGGTGGTAGTGACTGAAAAAAGATTATGGTGTACGATCTTGGTAATGTACATTCCAATTTTCCTAACTATAGCTCTTAAATTGCGGGAGATACAAGCAATATACCTTTCAGATTTGGTAACACTAGCTTTCAAATTGTCTGAGATATGTGGACTTATCGATTTACTCTAAGAGGTGTATCGGTTTGGGGAGGCAGAGTGGGCGTGGCCATCAAATTCTTTATCGATCGCTTAGGGGAGTAGATCAGTAACATACATTCAAAATGGCGTATGCCGATCTTTGGAGGACATCTCCAACAACCTATCTGCCAATCTTGGTGACTGTTGCCTTAAAATTTTGGGATCTATACGGCTTTATCGATTTGCGATTATCGATTTTATCGATGTCCTTGCATCCACTGGACGTAGCACTCAAACCCGGGCTCAGACCAGTACATGTTCAAGTACAAGTTTGAAGTCTCTATTTGTAGGGGTGTCGAGAAAAGTTGCGTTCAAACAAACGGACAAAACCGATTTACTATGATACCTTCGGTATCTAAGTATAAACACTGTTCGAAAAGGTAGAAGAAAGAAAGAGAGAGAGAGAGAGAGAGAGAGAGAGAGAGATAGAGAGAGAGCGCTGTCCATCGTATGGCTAATGAACTAAACAACCAGACTGTCAAGAACTTAACTAATGATTTTATTTTTCTTCTCTTTTTCCACACTTATTGCAGGTGTCCACGCTATCGATTTGTTTCATGTTGTAATTCGAGTACTTTCGGTAAGTATTAGTATGAAAATCGGGAACAATTAATTTAATTTCAACCAGAACATGCAACATGTTTAATACATACATACAATGGTCAAAGCGACCAGTTTATCTGGTGTAAGCCATGAAGATAATTAAAAGTGGTCCAACAACAGTTCAGTAGAATAAGCTGGACGTCTTAATCAGTAGCCTTGGGCAGGTATCAGTTAGCAGTTACTGCTGGATACGGTTATGTACATTTGTACAGAAATATGGCTTTAAGCCAGGCCATAAGCTGCTGTCCGCTGTCCAAACGAGCTATGTCTCTGTTCATCTCGACACCATTCCCTTTACTTTTGCACCGTGCTCTGCTTAAGCGAAATAACTGCAATACACCAGACCTATACACATTCATATTTATATACACAAAAAAAAAAACCTGCTTTAGACCGGATGCTTGCCCCATTGACCGTGCTGCACTATGGCCCGTCCTTGCATCAACATTTGACATTTTGCAGCTGCTCAGTAAGACTCGGACTCTGGACACAAGCCATCAGAGGCAGTGCATTGCAGTGCTGTGCCGCAGCTGGTGCTCAAATCCTGAAAGCACACAACGAGAAATCTCGCTCTGCCACGGTCAACTTGACTTCTGTGTCAGGCTTGTGCACTTCCTTCGTTTCGCTGTCTCTCCGTCTGTCCCATTCATTTCAGGAAATGCATTTCGTCAACGTTGAATGAAAACGAAATTGCCAATTTAACTGTGGAGGCAAGGACTTCAGCACTGCGAAAGGTGCGACAGATGATTTTCTGATTTGATAAGCAATCAATGAGCTCGTGGCAACTGTCTCATGCAACCCATCCACATTCTGCAAACTGGCATTCAATATACAGAGACGCTTAGTTGTCTGAAATTATAATATTGAAACTAACTGTTGCACTTCGTTGATGTCAACTATCTACTCTTCAAATTATTGAGTAGCGTAGATTTAGTACATCATAGGGAACTTCTATTATACTCTTTGATGTTTCGCTGTTGACTGCTCTGGCAATCAAATCAAATATAACGTATACGCACACACTCAGAAAAGCTAACTGCTGCCAAACCTTAGCCCAGTTATGTGAAATACCACAACTAGCAACTGAATGAATAAACATGCTCAAGGAAATGAAAACCACACAAGCTGCCAGCGAAATTAAAATAGTTTATTTTATGCAGTATGCTGGTGCGAGATTCTTTGCCTTCCTCTTACTTCTGCACATAGCCCATCCAACTAAAGGCCATATAGTTGTATATCAATCGCCAAATTTGTTGGCGCCATTATCTACAGCTATTCCACTTGCCAGGCAGTCAAGTGCAGATACGTATATATGTAGATAGCGACTGAGATAGTCTGAGAAAGAGAGAGAGTGGAAGAGCGAGAGGGAGAGTCATATACACAGTTGATACGTTTCTTGACTATCGCAACCCGAAATTGAATAAAAAAAAAAATCTCATCAAAAATCGATTAGAGAAACAGCACTGCAAATGTTTGTAAGGTAAAGAGATGGAAAAGTGAGAAAAAAATGTAGCTGGAGTATTGGTTTGATTTTTTCCTTTTTTTTTTCTTTGTCAACGCTAAGGACTGAAGTATATAGTTAATAAACAACTTTTGTTGTGAGTAGAACAACCAGTCATGGGCTTTGACATCGTTATCGTCATCATCATCGTTAGCGGGCAGCCAATTTGTGTAGAAAGCAGCAAGTGAATATGCAATAAATATTGCCACAAAATGCAATTTGGGAAATTAAAAACAAAGTGGTGAATCATATTTGCTAACTCATTTTTCCATCCCCCCCCCTGAATGTTGGAAACGGACATAAGGGCACGAGTTGGAAATTGAAAACATTTTCACATTTACAGCTGAAAATGCTATTGCAATATTACAATTTATGCTGAGATACGGGTTAGGGTTATGACAGTTGTATAATTTTCGCTAGACAGCTACCCCTTGTAGATCTCAATATTTTAAATCAACCACCCAACTTCAGCACTTCTCTATTACTGCTATATGCTATATGCTCAGTACTATATGCGGTTACCCAACCAAAGCCGAATACAAAATATGCTTTGTGAGTGACATGAAAATGAACTGAGGCGACTCAAGCGATATACTCGTACGTGCCAAGGGCGAAAGCCACACGAGAGAGTATAGCTGAAATAGCTGGACAAAGTGGGGATGCTGGATTGTAATGCCCGGGCCTTTAAATAAACAGTTTGACATATGAAAGTCACACAATCACCCACACACATCCGCATGTCTGGCGCTCAATTTGGAAGAGCAATAGTTTGGAGACCAGGAGCAGGACAACTCAATTAAGCATGCACAATGCACACGAAATTTCACTTGCTGTTTACTCTTTCCCCCACCACACACCCTTCAATCGGTCCCTTTCTCTTTAGCTGATAGAGAATTGTTCGGGTCTGTTGGTGAATTTCAATGCACACTGCAATCGCGCGTCAAACAAATGTGCAAAAATGGTAAACATATCACACCGTTCTGTGGCCTAAGCTGGGGTGAAATAAAAATTGCTTTATATTGAAGTCACATACAATACATACGAATACTACTATTGATTTTATTGGTCGGTACGTGTTCGTTGGCTGCTTAAGCCAGTTTTTTAGCTCACTTCCCAACATCGCCCGTCAAAGCTTTAGCGCCGAAGACGCATTTGGTACCACTGTACTCGTATAGTTTGACTTTGACTGCACAGTTTTTATATTGACATTCAGGTCACGAGTGCATATTTTTGTAACTTTTTGTGTATACCCCTTTCTTTTAAAGTAAAAAAAAAATAATATCGCTAAGTGTAATTAGTTTTTGTTTTGTGAGTAGCGTCAAAGAAGCACAAGTGAAGTTATATCGGCCATAAAAGAAAGAAGCCCATATTCAATCGATTCCTCATCCTATCTCTTTTCAGCGTTCATCTTTAATAATTTCGTTTCAAAAATATTTGTACATTTTGTTCTCTGCTAACTACACAAACCTAAAGACTGTCTATCTATTTATTTTAAACTGATAATAAAATTGCCAATTCCCAATTTAGTTTTTGAAGAACAAATTGAACTGTACAAATATCTGTTTCGTAAAAGTCAAATATCAATTAATTTGAATTTTTTGTTTGCCTTCTCCAATTTTTGAATATTGTATTATTGAAAACGTTTGAATATTAAGTGAGATGAAGGTACGACCCTTCAATCTATTGTTTATTTGCATAATGAATGTGAAAAGTATTTGAAATATTTGCACAATAATTGTGCCTTTCAATTTTTGGTTAGCAATTTAAATTTCACCCTCTGGGTTGCTTTTTTTTTTTATTTAATATTGATTTATTGGCGTCACGCATTCTTCATTGTTTACAGCAGTCTTTGACCTTTGTTGGACCTAACAATCCAACTCGCTTATGCCGCTCGTATTTGTTGAACAATATTTGGCTGTGGACCAATGAGTAAAAAGTCAGCAGGGGATGTGCCTCTGGGTCGGGCCACAGGCCCTGACGCATAATCAATCAATAAAAATCGATTTGTTGTTCAGCGCAATCACCAAAGGGACTGGGGAGCGTAGGTGGTGGGTAGATGGGCTGGGCGGCATACATTCTGGATGGGGGACAAAACTGTAACATACAAAGCACATGTGTATGTATGTGCATTAGGTCACATGGCACACCATATCACACCCACACCACCACTTTCCACCTTTCTTTCTTTCGTTCCGCCTACCCTTGAGCCGATCCAGCTGATGAGATGCCAACCCTCCAAACTCGCCTTAGCACTTAAGTAGGCAGAGTCGTTGTCATCAATGTTCGTCGTCTCGTGCCGTTCATTGAACTGACTTCAGTCAGCCACCTCGTTCTCATAATCAAAATGTTGTCTTGTGCTCTTATTTGGGGGTTGCTTGCATCCAAGCCCTTAGCTTTGTCCTCACAATTATATTCCACCCACCCGGCCCATTAACCCGGCTCTCGCTTTTGTCACATTCCCAACTTTGCTTATGCCGTTCACAGTCTATATAAGTGCATATATGTATACTATGATACTTCGACTGTTAAATTTCCATATACATACTTGTTGTGTACAATATCTTATGATACAATTTTATTTGTCTTTCTACTGGGAGAATGAGTACCTTTGGTTTCTTTTTTTAAGTACTCTATATATTTGTTCCAATACGTATGATCCCATTAGTATTTTGAAAGCAGCCAAATTTTCATATCTCCGATAACATTTCTATGCTGATATACCAGTATTTTGTTTTCAAAAACTCAATTTTCTTTGTCATACTAGTTTTTTTTTGGCTTGAATATGAATTTGTCAATATATTGTTATGTTATGTGTGATTTGATAAATACGAAAAAAAAACACGCAAGCCGAAAAGTTGCGTGCGTGGCCCATGACTCATCGACGCCCATTAAAGTTTGGAAGGGACTATATGGGGCTACCAGTCTATTAAGGTGACCATTTACCATTTGACTCAGTTGCCAGTATAATTGAGCTTGGTTCCTGTTGTTTTTGTTGGCTTGGCGCTAAACGTTTTGTGGTCTGCCGCTTGTCACCAAACGCCTCCCAGAAGCTTTTGCTACCCACCCCTAAGCAGACGCAAAGAGAGAAAAAGGGAGAGACAGAGATTGATAGAGAGCGAGAGACAGAAAGAGTAAGAGACATACAGAGATGGAGAGAAAGAGAGAACGAGGTAAAACATGAGACAACACCAACTGTTGCTGCTGAAAGGCAGTATGCACACATACATATTTATGTTCTGGTGCAATTCGTGTATGTGTATGTGTGTGAGTGAGTGTGTGTGTGTGTGTGTGTGTGTGTGTGTGATGCCGCCTTAATGGCAATAATCCCAGCTCATAAAGTATGCAACGGCTCGTTAGAGCAGTTAGCCGTCTGTTCTACAACAATTTTCCAGCCCTCGTCAATCATTTACCAAGCTGCACGCTAATGGTTCACCAGCCAAATACAACTTGGAATGAATTTATCTCTTTAGGTCATC